CCCAATGGCTTTTCTGAAAAGGGAGATGAAAATTGGAGTTGCTCAACTTTGTTTAAAAGCGTTACTGGTAGACTTCCAGGGCTCTTCAACAATTTGCCATATGTTTCACAAACTCTATCTTATCTGAAATCAGAAGACCAATTGTTAAAAGAAGTTGAATACAATGGAGGGTAAAATATTAATTTACTTTTAATGCACCAGTGTCCCATAACACAGCTTGAAACTGTCTGAGCTCTCAAGTCCAGCAATCAAATTTAACAAGGCACCCCTTGCCTTTCAAAAGGTAATTTAAAGAGGAAATGGGAAAATAACCTAGCATAAAAAACACTAGTAACTTTCAGTCTGAATGCAAGAACCTTATGTAATGAGCTAAGAGAAAAGAGAGTCTTTGTGATTGCTCCTGTTTGTAGGGTATTCATGGACAATGGCTTACAAAGGCATAAAATACAATCCATGTTTCAAATGAGGATCACCTAGAGATCAAATTAGACCATTACAAATGATAAGGCACAGTTGATGAATTCTAGAGGGCACTGATAGCATCTCTTTTGAAGGAAATGCTGGTATGAAAAAAGGGTAGCTAGAAAAGGTTAGACTAAGGCAAAACAAGAGATCATTACTGCCACTGATCCTACCACAAGCCATTTTGAAAGCAGAACATTTTTGATTGTCCCTTATTTATCATTTGTCTTCTATTGATAAGTCATCAAGGATACTGAAACTAAAAAATTCAAATACTTTGGCTATGATCAGCTTTAATTTATGGAGCTCCTTTCAGTAAACATACCCGGCTAACCATTTGTACAGTGGTTGTTTTTACTTTGTGTTTCTTTTCCTCAGTGTCTTTGCCAGGGGGACTCTCCCTCGGTTAACTGTGAGAGATATAAATGATTCAGATGGCAAAGATGATGTTCTCATTTATAATTAATGGATGTACTAAGAGCATACTGAGAAAGGGGGAGCTGGATATCAATGGTTGCATCTCTTGTGTTCGGGCAACTTTTACAGTAGATATAGGGGTTACGTATGAGTGCAAGGAAAGTTGGAGACTTTCTGTTTGTTGGGGAGTGAGGGTGGGGAGAAGAAGATATTTAATTTTGTATCCCTAGAGCTCCCTTAAAATCGAATTAATCTGCAGTAATTAATTGAACAAGGCAGCGATGGGTCTCATTATCAGCAAGAAACCTTAAGAGAACAGAAAATGACCCACTATGTTTAGGGTTTATCATATCAAAACTTAAACAATTCCTATTTTTGGGGATTCACACAATTGTGGGCGACATTCCAGGATAACTGGCGGGTTACTGAATCGTGGCTACTGCACATAGCAAAAAACTGCAACAAAGTTCTGTAGCTGTAAAAAGAGGTTCATGAAATTAAGATACACCTTTCATGGGCTGATGGGTTACTTAGTCACCTAGATGGCAATAGTAATACAGTAGTGTATAATGAGGTCATGAGGATTTCCACCTTAAAATGTACTGTATGGTTCATCATCAAAACTCCATTCTAGATCACAGAGGAAAAGAAAACTGCACCGAGGTCCCAATATTTTGTTTTTGTCCACATCCCAGCAGTCAGCAGAAAACCCATTCTCTGAGAACGAGTGTCAACAGAGCCATCTGCTTTTTGTCATACTGTAACCCCAGAGCATGACCAGTTTAGCATTGCTTGTCATAAGGTGGACCTTCACAGCATGGACTGTTATCTTCGTCTAAACCCAGGTCAGTGGCAAGGATAGCCAGTTCATAGGGAGCTGAGAATCCTCAAGTTGATACTGCCTTATGTAAAATCACAGAAGATCTCATGTATCTGTTTACTGCTTGTGAGAGATCCTGGCCACAATGAGATATTAAAACAGTGTAAGATCACTTTATTAGCCATATACAATTTCTTGCATTAAGAATTTGTCTTCTCGCATACCCCAGCTTGCTTTCCATGAGACACAGACACAGACAGGGAGAGAAGCTCGGGGTCAGAGTGCAGGGTCAGCCATTGTACAGCGCCCAAGGAGCAATTGGGGTTAAGGGCCTTGCTCAGGGGCCCAACGGAGTAGGATTCCTCTGCCGGCCCCGAGATTTGAAGTGGCAACTGCTCTGCCCCCCAGTATATGAACTAGGTTTTTCTTAAACTAAGAGACCTTGCAGGATATTATTCTATGCGTTTCTCAGAATGAAAGATTTTCTAAATATGATGTTTATGAATTTGTGTTTTTGGCATGATAACTTGTCAAAATGTATGCAGCATGCGAGCCAAGACACTCTTGCTAATGAGAAGACATAACTCTCTCAAAATAATATAATTTAACTGAATCAAATGGAGTTGAAAAAAAAAAGTTGCTTTTAATGGAAATTGCCTGTGAAGAAGATGACAAATAGTCATTTGTATATTAAGGAAATAAAATTGTGATCAACACCCAGTGGAGAGTACAACTAAGACTGAAAAAATATTTGCTTACTAATGTACTTTTTTTTCATACAAGTGAGTTCATTCTTACTAAGAAATTAGGATTTATTTTTAATATGGGTGATATTACACAAAAGTCCCATGCTGACATTTTCCTGTACTGTAAATTATATATGAACTTAAGTGGGCTGAATATCTATGCATTGAAACACTTTAAGTATAGAACAGGTATGGCTGTATGGCTTTAACTGAATACCAAGTACAGTACCATGAGCTGTTTGTTCTACTGAAAAGAAATGCTCAGTTTACATTATTTTTCAATGTATGTATTTGATTCCAGACTGGAGAAAAGCAGTTTCAATTTCAGCTGAGTGAAAATGTTCTTGTAAGGTAATAATGATTTTAATAAATACAACACGAGGAAACTGTAAAATCATCACAACATTGCTTCAGATAGTCTTCCCAGACACCTGCTCCAGTACTGATTTCATTGCATAACTGTATTATTCCTTACCAATAAAATTCTGACCTCGTAAAAGACACAATTCAGAGAAGCACAGATGGACTACCTTTTTTAAAGCTCTGTATATTACTCTTTTGGGTCAGATTTCAATGAAAATGAGGAAAGGAAAAGACTTTTTGAAGAAGTGCCTTGGAGGAGAGGGCAAATTAATAAGATGTGGGAGATTCAGTCATATCTGACAAAACAGGACCCTGTGGCAGATTCAGGAGGGCTTTTATGGCTCAGCTTGGAACACTTCCATTAATTTTGCACTTGCCAGCAAGAATTTTTATCATGATATGGGTTTGAGGTACTGGCCCCTTGAGAGATCAGAAAATAAACCACTGGTGGTCCACTTTTTCTTATGTGCTGCCAAAGAGGCACTTACTGTGTCAAAGTTGCCTACCTTTCAAAATAACTGCTTTAAAATATTAACTCAGAGCTGAGATGAGAGCTAAAGGATACGCATTCTTATTTAAACAATGATAGAAATGCAAACATTGGGGACTAGAATTTATTTCTCCTATTAAAAGCTGTTTTCTAGAATTAACCTTGCCTGCCTTGTTAGAAATTCTTACCCATAGCACAACATGGCTTCATTTCCACAATTTGGGTATTTATAAATGGTCTGTTTAGACACTCCCCACACAGAACCTTCGGCACTCCTCCCAGCCCACCTTTGTTTTGTTAGAGAGACCTCTCTGAAAACTCAAAGGGGTTTTAGAGCAGACCTGATCTCCCACCATCACAATGTGCCCAAATTCCACTACCTAAAAACAACAACTGTTAAGAAAAAAATACCTCAGCTACTTAATTTAGAGGAGATACAAAAAAACAAACAAAATATAAATTATTTAAGTTTAGCATCTTAATGTATGGGGAGAAAAACAATATTTTGTGATGTTGCATTCAAAAAGACCTTTTGGGAGAATTAGAAAGTATTACCATAGACACAACAAAAAAACGTATATGAGTAATTATGATAGAGGACAGTTTCAGCTTCTGGAGAGACTTAGCCAAAGCAAAAAGACACTACAAAAAAATAAAATAAAAGTGCTGCAGAATCTTAAAGCTGGACCATACAAGCTGTTTCACCTGCTATATTGTAATGAAAAATGCAAGAAAATGCTCACTCTTCATTTTGTGGACAGAGGAGACCTATTGCTGACAGAACAAATAAACTGTACTTTGCTGCTACGTACTGTAGCTTGTCCTGCAACTGAACGTGTTGCTGTTTGTGTAGTTTTCCTCTATACATGAATATAAAGTAATAAAACACAAAAAGAAACAAGCTCGCCACCTTGTGTTAAAACTGAGAAAATTTAATGCGGGAATACAGTTCATACAGGAGAAAACAGCTAATAAAACCAAAAATATAATGTTTTTATACAACATAGGTACAATTTTTGACATGTTCATTTGATTACATTGTATTTTTCTTTCATGGCTCAAATTTCATTTACATGTCTTTATAAATATTTACTTATTCAGAAAGGACAAGTACGCACACCTACTGTGATAAGAAGAAAGAAAGCATCTTAATCCATTACATCTTAATATAAGCATCATCTGCAAATGTTCCCAAAATACTTTCGAAAATCATCATTAAGCCATCGGTAGCACAGCTGTAGTATAAAAATCAATAATTGTATGACACAATGTATTTTATAGCTCTTTGTACAATTATTTTGAAGTATACGTGTTTTAATTGCACTGTATTTTTGAGTACATATCGCCCTCATGTGGATATTCACGGTATTATTAGAAACATGCAATGAAGGGTTATTTTTCAATATTATTTATGATTATTTCAGAAAGTTGTGACCAACTAATCTGCACATGTGTCGAAATGAGTCATTACCATCACATATATGTGGTTTGTTGTTATTTTTCGAATAACCTCTTTTGTTGTAACCTTTCTGGTTGGAAAAAAAATCAAAATAACCGCTTTTTCCGTTATCAAATAGAGCTGCAATAAAACTGTCGTGGCATTTCAACATTTGCAATGTAACTTTTTTGCATTAAAATTAAGTTGACATACATAATCCATGGGTATATTTTTTTTTATTAAGACTAGTTACAAAACAAGAAAAGCGTTACCAGCCTGTCGTCGTGATAATAAATTCTTCCCTCGAAATGAATGGGTGTTGTGTATATATAAGTACTGCACACTATAGGCCTACAGCTCAAGTAATTATACCGTATATCCCTACTTTGTGTGAATAGGTTGTATAAAAAAAAAAAAACACCTATCCTCTTCAAATGTAATTTAAACCAAATGGATGTTTTACGTGACTTACGAAGTCCCGCTATTTTTTTTGTACCTGTACGTGGGAAGTCCTGCGTGTTGACGCAGCGGCGCAAAGGTGGCAGCTGTGCGGTCCCGCACTGCTCTGTAACCGGGGAGATCGCTTGTAGTTTCCAAGTCTCGGTTTGGCAGCGGAGCTTTGTTCGCAGGATTTGCTGTTTAGCTCCTTTCCGTGTCTTTCAGGAAAGTGATAGCTTTCGACAGTTTCAACAGCCTGATCGCATTCCCTGAAATAACCCGATCGGAGTGACTGCTGGTGAGGTTTTTTTTTGGGGGGGGGGGTTGTGTCTTTCTCCTGAGTTTCTAAGTCTTTAAACCTTGCAGCCCGGATGCAGTGAGCAGGAGCCTGCGGCCTGCCAGAGCGGAGTTGGAGCAGCGGCCTCGAGTTATGTCAACCCCCCGAAAGCCGCAGGTTGGAGGAGCGGCGGGCTCAAGGCCTGGGACGAGTAGCAGTAGCAGCAGCAGCACCACCACCACCAGCAACAGCAACAGCAACAGCAGCAGCACCAGTAGCAGCAATAATGCCAGAAACACAAGCAGCGGGAGTGGTAACACTAGTAATGGGACCAATTCTGCAAATGTTGTCTCTTCACGGACACTGGGAAGTGGAGCCGAGGGGTTACCTGTGGCCGCTTTGGGGATCCCTACTTCCCGAGTTACTCCAGCTTCTCTGGCCAGACCCGGCTCGTCCTCTGGAAGCAGCAGAAAACGTCCTCTTCCAACACCCCTTTGCAATGGCCTCATAAACTCGTACGAAGACAAGAGCAACGACTTTGTGTGGTGAGTTATTTTTGTTGTTGTTTTGAGGGGGGGCATTTAAATTCCATAAGGCCGACATGAATCATGCCGACTGAGGCATTTTTTTGGATTGTTCTGAAAGTGAAGAAATTAAGATACCGGTGCTGGTTTTTGGTATTGTGTTTTTTGCCCCCTGAATGTTTATATATATATATTCCCCATTTTATAAATAGTACAACACGTAATTACTCTCATCTGCACTATTGAAACATTGTGCGAAACGGGACCCAACATCAGCTCGTAAAATCAATCATCTCCCATCAGACGTTTGTAGTTATTATGTTTTTGAGTAGGACATTTTCGAGTTCGACGAGGATTTGAAATTACAGATGACAGCATAATGAAGGGTCAAAATTAAAAAAATAGATTCAGCCCCATTTAGATGCATTTTTTTGGCGACAGCTTTACATTCTGGATTTGTGGGCTATACAATAATGTGTATTCCTGCCTGCAGCTGAGTTACTGCGTTTACTGGTACACGTTTGTCTTTATTCGAATGAATGGATGTTGTAGGTCAAACATTTGTCTGGTCTGAATTGGTCACGTTTTTTTTTTTCTCTCCTGAAAATGGCAGTTTAGTACTAAGCAAGCCAAACTAATTTCCTGCTTTACACAACACAGTAGTTGGTTTTTGGTTGTCAGATGTCAACAAACGTTCGGGATGCCACAGTGAAAATGGAAGGTTTTTCCTCCTCTTTGCCTTTTCGGCAAAAAAAAGTTTTCTTTTGTTCTTACAAAGTACAGTACCTCTTGCACCCCAGGATTAAGACAGTGCCCGTACGTTGCTGATCACTGTCAAACGTGATGTGTTAAACCTGTCGCAATCTTTCAGGACTGGCTGATTGCTTAATGTTTGTTCTTTTTGGCTTTGCAAAGTCCTGACATTATGTCCTACTTTTATGTGATGCCTACATAATTATTAGCATGTTATTTTTTTGTCCATGATTTTTTTTTATTTAGGAACAAATTTCTTTTCTGACTATTGTTGAGAGCTTAAAATAATTCAGTTGTTATATGCCATTTTCATGGTCCTTCAGCAATAAAACATTATTGTGTCTTCCACTTGCACACCTCCTTACCACCATAAATCCGCTCTATACTGTATTGTACAATAAATGATTAACTCTCGTTTTTGTTTCGTTTTTTCTAATTTTGTATCTTAAGGAAATGTGCTATATAGTGCTTGGTACTGTTTTCTAAAGGCCCATACGTATTCTATTTAATTATAGCAATATATCCGTGTTCGTTTTTAATGATCGTGAAGTCTCATTTGTGCAAAGTGTGGTGATCTTTAAAAATATAGACTGTACTAGCTTTAGTGAATTGTGTAAATTAAATAATCTGTTGCAATATGATTTGAATTGTTTTTAATGTGAACCTTTTTTTCAGCCCAATCTGTTTTGAAATGATTGAGGAAGCTCATATGACAAAATGTGGGCACAGCTTTTGGTAAGTAATCATTTAAGCATTAAAAGAAGAAAAATGTATCAAAAAATTTGTGGTGCACTTAAGGTAGCATTAGTTGGGATTTTAATTAGCTCTTTTATGTATTATTCTGCATTACTCAGCATAGTTTCACAACTACCTTAATAGAGAAAGTGCAAAGCTACGTTAACAAAGTACAGCAGAAATCACATGTGAAAAGTTAAGTTAAAATTTCTGTCACATAGTTTCTTCATTTGAGACTTGCCATACTAAGCACCATCAGTATCTGAATGTTTTATGCTGACTTCATGATTTATTTGATAAACGCTATTAAAGTAGCTTTTTTGGTAATGATAATCTACTGTACTACTAGTGAACTGCTTGACGTGTATGCTATTAGTAGATTCCTTAATTGCTGCAGTCTATTCTAGTTGTAGACAGTGCTTTTTATTGTAGGAAAATGTAATTGTTGGATTCAGTCTGTCTCATTTTTGTCAGTACTGGTGGGTTTTGGAAGTTTTATAAAAATGTAAGTTTTATTTCCCTATAATCATTTTGTGATTAACACAGAGTGCATTTTTATACAAATGGGTTTTAGGATATGCTAAATCTTAATTTTATTGCACAGAGCTATATGCTCTAAGCTTGTGCTTTTATTGTTGTTTTTAGAACTTAAATGTGCAGTAAAATGTTTTTGGGAACATAGGAATTAGAGTATTTTTTTAATATGTAATCATCTTATATTTTAAATGAACAGTGATGAAAAAGTCTGTTTTTTATGCACCGTTTGTCAGCATTTTTTTTACTGGTGTGCATTTCTTTTAGTTACAAGTGTATTCGGCAGAGTTTGGAAGACAGCAACAGGTGCCCAAAGTGTAATTATATTATTGATAATGTGGATCAGCTGTTCCCCAATTTTCTAGGTAAGTCCAGTAATGTCTAAATGAAAAGACAATGCATTTATTGAACCCCCATCGATGCAATCCACATCCGTCTGGTTGTGGAAGTAAAATACATTTATTGATAACAAAATATTTTTGTTCTTTGTTTGAGACCAAATATTCTGCTAAGTATGTACAAATAAATACAGTTAACATTAAGGTAATTGTCCATCAGTGGGATGAGATTGCCAGAGAAGAGAGCTGGAATTTGTTAAATAAAGTGAAAATCAAAAGTCCTCCTCTAATGCGAAGCTTTTACAGTTTACAACATTTCTGTTTAAGTATGCAGTAGAGTATATTTTGGTAAAAGGATCCTATTTTATAACTGGTCTCTGGAGGAAAACAGTTTTTCTTTACACCAACTGAAGTGTACTGTGTGAATATCGTTGAGATTAAAAGGCTTCATATTTTTTTGTTTTTCTGTTGATTTTCATTCTTGTTTCCACACCTGAGTAGTGAATGAACTTATCCTCAAACAGAAACAGAGATCAGAAGAAAAACGTCTTAAACTGGACCATCCGGTGAGAATTCAGTTCCAACTATTTTTTGTATTTTGTGTATACAGAAATTGCTTTTGATAAAGTTTCTAAATTGTTTACAAATTTGGAATCATTGGCTCTCCTGTATCTGGATTTTTGACTTCACATTTTTTTACACAGCAAATGTTTTGGTTTATGATTGGGCTGTAAAACTTTGGAGCCAGTAAAAATGCCATGTCAGCACTTGGGGTTAAAATGTGTTGCTGAAAAATATTTAAAAAAGGAGACGATCAACCCAGTAATGGCAGTAACCAGCAGTATTTTGTGACTGTTGGAACGCAAAATGCACAAGTGGGAAAACTGAAGAGTTCTAGCATATGTTATGGACAAATTACTTAAAGATCACATTGAAAGCATTTACTGAGGTGGCAAAAATCATGCACAAAGTTTGGAGTTCTGCCATTTCTTTAATCTCCTAGAAAAAAAAAGTTGTTTTTCCCAGTAAAACGAATGCTAGTTAAAATGTCAATTTTTATTAATAAACCAGCAATGAACTCCATGTGGAGTTTGCCCTGTGTTACCTGGTAAAATGTCGTAGGCTTAGTGAACCATCTGAAAATTGACGGGAGGTTAAGCAAGGGTTATACTCCTGTAGTTAGTATTTTATAAGTCTTCCTCTGGATTGGATTAATGCCCTCTATAGTGTTCCATGATCTTATGGTACTTTTTTAGGGCAATTCTTTACCACTCCTTCAGACAGAATTGCTCTTGATCCTTTTCAATACTGTGATTTCCATTTGTAAAGTGCACTTGACCATTGCATTGCTAATTTGGATATATGCTTTTGATCATTGTCATGCTGGAATGTCTATTTCTGACCAAGATAGAGGTTCTTGGCAGAGGAATCCAGTTGTTTGTCTAATTTGCCCCTATATATATGATGTTATGAGTCAAAACCCTAAAACAACAGACCCCTTCACTATTTCACAGTGATTAGAACATTACGCAGCATGATGTTCACCATTTTTACACCAAACATAACTGCCTTTTGTAGTTTACCTTCAGAAGGGACTTCTTCCTTCATACCTGGCCATGAATGCCACATTCGTGCAGATGAATGTAGAATGTAATTTTGTTTTTTATACATTTTATTAAAAAAAAAACAATACTTGAAAGTCTGGGCAAATGTAACCTTTGTGTTTCCTGGAATGAATTGGACAAATATAGCCTTATTTTGTGTTTGCTGTTACAATTACAGTATAACATTTTTAGTTGCTTATTAAGGAAGACTTGATCCAATCTTTAACTCGTGTGTCTTATTATGGAAAACATTTTTTGTTCCTGTTTCATTGGGGTATAAATCTGGGTGAGACGGTAAAGCAATAAAGAAATTGAGCTCTGTGGCCCAAAGAAAGACAAGGAAAATATCAGCCAGATGTCACCCAAACAGATTTTGCTTAAATGTAACATGATTACACAGTGAGCGGTGTTGTCGATGTCTATTGAGTTAACATTTTTTTCATACCAAGGTACGGGCATTACTTCCAACATATCTGAGCTAATACAGTTTCATGTGAAACTAAACATGTGAAAACCATTTTTTGTATCTTGAGGCTAAAAAGCTGGAAATGGATTCATCTTTCTTTCCTGCTCTGTGTTCCATTACTGACTCTTTGTTTTGGAAATCTGTAGCCACCAGGACAGATGGAGAAAAATAATCTGGATTCTTCCAAAAATGTGATTATTTTTTTACAAAATTAAAATGGGCATTTCTCATTAGATTAAAGCACTGGCATATGATGATGAGGTACTGTGTGATGTTTTGTATGTACTAAATTTATTTTTCTTTTCAGAATGGGCATAGATGGCAAGTTTTCCAAGATGTGCTGGGTACAGATCAAGAAAATCTGGATCTTGCAAATGTGAATTTTATGCTGGAGCTTCTTGTACAGAAAAAGAAACAGCTCGAAGCGGTATGGTGTCCATAGTGCTGACATTACCTTGTTTTGTAGAAAGTATTTACAGTATCACAAACCTTTGTATAAAAACATATCACCTGTTCTTGGTTTTTAAATGTACTTCCATGTAGTTTGCAGTCATGTTCTCTGGTTCATATTTCAGTGTTTATTCTGATGAAGTCCACTGGTTTATCAGTGCCATTGAAGCTTTACAATACTAAGGTCCTCTCTTAGTCTTCCTTAAAATCCTAAAAATTCATTTCCTTCCTTCTTCTCTGGCTGCTCTTTTAGATGTTTTTATAACATGGTGACCAAAGTTACACTCAATATTCTCAGTACTGCATTATCTAATTTTAATCAAACAACCTTGATTTAAATCCTTAGATCATATATATCATAATATTTTATAGGGTTTTCTTAATTGCTCCCCCATATTAATGTAAATGATATGTCAACATAAAACCCTAAGGCTTCATAAGTAACTTCTTCAGGTTCAGGATTTAGTGTTTATAGTTTTTTTTTTGTCACTTGCATGTAATACTCTTTGGCATGTGTAAGTAAAATGTCACCTGCCAAGTGATTCTCCAGTATTGGATTAATCTTTTTAATTTCCTTTGCTGCTTCTGCAGTGTTTGCTAATCCTCCTATTTTGGTATTGTCTGCAAACTTCAAAGAGAAGTTTAAATATAAGTTTAGATCATATTTTTTGGCATCATTATTCAGATAATTTCATCTTATTGAGTTCCTCCCATTAAAAAAAAACAGTAATGTGACCTTCCCAGTGCTTGAGTTTCAAATTAGAATTAATTTGATCCTGGAATGACTTTTAACTTCATGCAGAATATTGTCAATACATCATTTTTTCTGTCTTATAGCAGATGCACACTGGTTCATGCATTTGTTTTTTTTTATGGGGATCAACTATTAACATGTTGTACTTCCAAGACTCCTTAAAACATTATTTAAGTTACAGTATGTTTAGAGGTGATCAGCTAGAAACCTCACTAGGTCCCATGCAAGGGATACCTACTGTCTTGGAGTCCCTGAACTGGCTTCCTGTGACATTTTGAGAGTAGTTAAACTAACTCTACATGGTATTCACCATCAGTGTCTAGTCACAGTATTTGTTTACTCCATTCCATGCAATTTTTGCTCGGCTGGTTCCGGTTTATTGTGTTCTCCCACTGTTCTGCATTCCATGGGTGACAGGGTGTTTTGTTGCTATGACCAAAAGCTCTGGCATCTTCTCGATCTGATTTGTGTTTTTTTATGTTTTCTTTTTTGAATAGCTTGTCCATTGGAATAAATCTTATCATTGATTTGGTTAGTTTTCTACTCTCTGTACTTAATGTTTTATAGTTAACATTTTAATTATATTTTAACATTTAGTTGTAGTTCACATTATGTTCATTAAACTCTTTAACAACCCATAAAATGTCCTTCTTGCTAGGATAAGAAATGTTCAGGTTTTAATTGTGATTCATTACATACTGTTAGTTCACTTTCTTGTTCAGATTTGGATCTTCGGTAAGGATGTTTGCAAACAAATGGCTCAACATCTAATCATTAGTAACAGACACTTACAAGACTTTCCTATATTGAAAAAAGTTGTTGCTTATTTTTGCTAGCTTCATTTCTTTTTTTTCAAAAGGAATCTCAAGCAGCACAGCTCCAAATTTTAATGGAATTCCTTAAGGAAGCCAGAAGAAATAAACGTGAAGTAAGATTTTTCACTCTTAATCATTTCTCGTTGCTGAAACATAATTGTATTATATGAAGATAGAGACAATGATATTTGAAATATTGTAGTGTTTGTTTCATTATTGTATGGGAACGTGACATAAGCATGTTTTATCGTATATGACAGATATTTAGGTAATTAAAAAATGCTGGATTACAGTCATTTCTCTTATTTAACAATTTTAAATGTCTTGATAATTATAAAGTGAAACACAACGCAAGTATAAGCAATATTACTCCCCCATGGAATAGAACACTTCACTATTTTAAAATACTAACTATAAAAGAAGCTAATGGTACTGCACTCCTGCCTACTGAGTCTAGTTGTCTAACCCCAGCAGTTATGTCAGTGTCTCAGAAGTGACAGTGTATTAAGTGGATAAAATATATTTATGTCCTTCATCTCTTTACTTTGTTAGCAACTGGAACAGCTACAGAAAGAGCTGAACTTTTTGGAAGAAGACATTAAACGAGTTGAGGTGAGAAAAAGAGATGGATTAATTGGAGTGGGAGAAATACTTTTCAGTATTATTTATAAACTAGATTATTCCTTAATTTCAGGCATGTTAGTTTGCCATTTTGACTTTCTTGCATTATTTTGCTTTAGGAATCATGGAAATAGAAAATGTTCCTGGTACTTTAGTTATGCTAAATAGGAAATATATGATCATACTTTGGTTGTGGTTTGAATTAATTACAGAACAAAAAGGAAGGTTAAGATGTGTGTAAGATGTTCACTTTTGCTTAATTTTAAGAATTTTTAGACCCAGGCTTGTCACTCATATGGAAATTCTTGAGAATTATTAGAATTATTACTAGTTTTGACTATTTTCTAGAAAACTGTAAATCTAGCTTTGTTTGGAAAAACATTTATTTAGTTTATAACTTTTAGTTTTTCATGAATTTTCCCGTTAAATGTGTTCATTTAATTTTTCTTATCTCTCATTATTCGACCCGTTGAGGCTGTAAAAAAGAGTGCAAAAAATGTGCTAAAAACATAATTTTAGTGGTAATTTCTCTGTTTTGAAATGAAAATTTAGCATGTTCTTTTTCAGGAAATGAGTGGGTTGTATTCCCCAGTGAGTGATGTGGACCATAATCTGGACAGCACTGTTCCTCAGTTTGAAGCTCCTTCGCCCTCACATAGGTAATGTGGATCTCATTAATCAGTGAATTTGTTTTCAGCATGTATTTTTAAGTGTTTTGACCCAAATGTCTGTAAGAAGATTAACTTTTGATTACAAAACATTAGCACATTGCAGATATGTATTAATAATTTTTGCCACATTGATTTTGCTCATATTAAATAGAAAAAAATAGATACAATCTTAATTTAAATGGTGAAGTTTTGCAGTGTCTCCTAATGTTGGTGTAAATGTGTTTTTATACAAGAGGTATTCCAAATAATGCTGTAAATTAGGTAATGGAGTAAATGCATGCTTGTTCCTGGATGTTTTTCAGCGTTATCATAGGAATCAAATAGTGAATTATGAATTATTTTTCCATGCATTAAAAGGAAGAGGGACAAATTCTATATTAAGATGAAAATGAGTGCAGCCATAAAATGCTGTAATTAAATTTTTTTCTGCATAATATACCTCATCCTAGTAATGATTAGTATGGAAATTAAGGTGCCTTTAAGGCACTGATTGTACACTGATGAGAACATCAAACTAATGTAAAAATACACTGTGACTAAGTTGTATCTGAGTGCTCAAACTGCGGATTCCATTTTGGCTAATTAAAAGCATTTCTCAGTTGTGCTGTAGTAATTTAAAAATAATGAAATAATAAAAATATTATTAATATAAGACTTTTTGTAGGTCTTGAATAGATATTTTTGTTTCTTTTTTTATTGCAGCTTTAATTATATACAGCAGCGAGTTCATTTCAGATAGTCAAGAACTTCCTTCCAGAAAATTGATTGACATGCTTTGCTGCATTTGGACATAAACAATATTGCAGCATAAGCTTGTGGTTTAAAATATAAATAAGTCACGAGTTTCATCCAGCTTCCTTTCATACAGCAGAGGGAAGTTTTTTTTAAAATCTTTTTTGACGTGAGCTGACAACACATGCACACGTTTCCTGTTAGGTTCCCACTGCTAAAAAATAGAAAAAACTGTACTTTTGTGTTCACATATCAAAATACAGCCACATGAAGACCCAATATCATTTTCAGACTTGGTGCTAGCCCCCTTTGTAGTTGTACAGATAACCATGAATGTATGCAATTAACAAAACTATCATAATTTGATAGAATCTAAAAGATTCTGGCAACAAAAATACTTAAATATTCCATTACTACCAGGTTCTTTCACTGAGTCATACTAAGAGTTTTTAATATCTTCACTTTGTTAAAAATGTACAGTTGTATTTTTATTAGATGGATATCTTTGAAATATGGTTCCTGTCATTTCACATCTATAACACTACAAAGTTAAGCAGCCAGATGTATTCCTGGTCTTAAAGGATTGTCATACTCTTATAGACTAAAGAAACTAAATCTTTTTATCTCAGTACAGAGAAGCTTGTGGATTCTAGACCAAGTTATTAAGAATTCTGAGGGGCATTAACTAAGTCAACACAGGAAACATATTTCAGATCAGTAGCAATATAAAAACACAAGTGGAAATCAAGTTTAGCACCAGAGGACATAAATCAGGAGACAATTTACAGAGTGGTTTTTCGAAATCTGCAACTATCTCTTAAGTCACATGATTAAACCTGAGTCTGTGGGATCCTTAAAATAAATTATAGAATTTTTAAAACATCAGTCACCTATAATCTAATTATCAAGGTGGGCCAAATCTATTTTTTTCCAGTATTCTTAGTAGTGTGGTGAGCCAGAACACCTCTGCTTTTTGGTTTTGTATCTGCTTGTATGTTGAGAAAAGTTATATTAGATTCAACTGAAGCACTTGCTTGATTGTATTCTTTTTTGTTCAGTAGTATTATAGATTCCACAGAATACATACAACCGCCAGGATTCAGCGGTAGTTCCCAGGTATGTGCTTTTTGAAAGTCATATTTTCACCTTTATAAACTTCCTTAGGAAATCCTACTGTGGCATTGTTGCAGAAATTAAGCACATTGTGTTTAACATGCAGAATTTATCAAAATGTAACTACTAGCTTATTTAATGGATTATTGCACAAAGATTAAGGAATAAAAACAAACGGAGAGTAAAGCATGCATGTTCTCCAGTTCAGGGACTTCAAGACCGTAGGTATTTGGTTGCTTGAATAGGACCTAGTCAGTTGCTGCTTGTGAGAGGGGCGTTTGGTCATCTGCTAAAGATGGAATTCTTAGTGGTGTTCTCTTAGATTTAATTTACAGATTTTGTATGTGTTGAAGACGTTTCATAGAAACACTGGGTTTTCTCATGATTGTTTAAATTGTTTTCTTATCATTTAGAATGAAATCAGTTTTATATATATATAATCTGTCACTGAGATATACAGAAATGAGAAGTAACACGGCAACTATCATGTAAAATTTGTGACTGCCTTAGCTCCGTATTTTCCATTGAATTCACAAGTATTAGTCTTACAGCCAGTCCTAAATATATATGAATGGCATGGTTAATCTATTTAAATACTTACCGAATCCTTAAGGTTTGTACTTGTGTATTCCTATTACATATTTTATGCTAATTTCCAGTGAAGTTTTTTTAATAATATAATTTTTTTTTTACTTTCACATCACCGGTTATTGAATAGCAGGTAGCGATTCCAAACATTCTACACTCAGAATTACAGATAATCAGGAACTAGTAACAAATAGGTTTGTTGCATATCTTTCTCACTAATTTGTCTCGAAATCATATCATTGTATACTGCGCAAAATGAACAGATTCAGTATGATGTGAAAAGGATAGCAGGTAGCAGCCCACTGCATCCTTCCTTACATCCTCATTGAAGGGTAGAGGAAAAAAAACACGTTTTACTTAAATTATGAAGTGGTCATACAAACTGTTGCTTGTTAAAAATGGTATATATTACAGAGCATTCATTTTTAACTGAAAACAGTGGCTCGTGTCTTGTAAGCAGCGCTAGTAAAGTCATTTATCCTGTCAGGGAAAGAGGCAGCCCTGGTATAACAGCACCCTGGCATCGCGGCGGAAGAGACTTACAGCTCACTTTGAGGACCTGGAGCAGTGCTACTTCTCTAACAGGATGTCTAGGATAACGGGTAAGTCACTATGCCCCTCATTGTTTTTAAGCAACCCGATTTACTCCATAAACCAAGACTGATTAACCAATTACAGTTCATGGCACCTCACTACACCTCTGCTGAGGTGCCATGTGAAAATCTGGTGTTAATAATAATAATAATAAACTTTATTTTATATAGCGCCTTTAAAGGTAGCTTCTCAAAGCGCTTTACAGGATGACAATAACAATAAATAAGAAGACTACAACAATAATTAAGAAGATTTCACAAGATAGGACACAATTATAATTACAACAATACAAAAATAACAATAGAGGAGACTGTGGAAGGTGGTATTAAGAAGAGCAGAGGGGTGAAGAATGGAACCAGTTAAGTAAAGGCTTTTCTGAAGAAGAAGGTTTTGAGTCTAGATTTGAAGGAGTTTAGAGAAGGTGACTCTCTAATATCCTTGGGCAAAGAGTTCCAGAGCTTGGGGGCATAGCAGGAGATGGTCTCACTTGAATTTAATTGCAGCTATAGAAAGCAGTTACATTTTACAGTAGGATTTAGGATTTTAAGGAATGATTCAGTTTTATTTTTAGTGCATTTTCATATAATGTCCATTTGAATTCAATGTAAAATGTTACTATATTGTGAACCAGTGTTAAAATGCAGAGTGCATTAATGTAATGTGTGGGTTCGGTTTCTCACATTTTTACTTGGCCCAAATCTTATGCAAGTTGCATGAACACATAAGAATGGTAATTCTCTATAAAATTGCAGTGATCCTACCATATTTTCCCTAGCTGTGTCTGTAAATGAAGCAAGAGAGACAGGAGAGCAGAATTGCAGGCTTATTAGGGTTAATTGTCCACTCATGGTTAACAGGTGTGTTTGCTGATCACGAAGGGTGGTAGTGAGCAAGAGACAAAATCGCAACAACAGATGGCAATCCAAGAGGTTGAGAAAGAAAGGAAGCTTCCCCTGTTTATATAGGGAGAGAAAAATGAAATAATGATGAATAAAAAAAACACATTTTTAAACCTAATGATTAGACTAATGAACAGGTATAACATGAACTTAAAAAATATACAGTATAGGAAATGATAATGACAATTTTATTACTGTATAGAGTATTGTTTAGTCATTAAACAAAAAATGCACAGTTAAAAATAATGTTTTCGGTGCGTCTCTGACATGATTGCAATGTAGGCTCCTCATAATATTCGTATGAAAGAGCGCTGGATAAGATGCATTAGTTACCACATGTGCCCGAAAGCAAAGTGAGAGTGAAGTGCAGAGCAGGGTGTAGTCTTGGTGGAGAGCTCATTATGCTTACTCTGCTCTAATCACGCGTGGAAGAAACGCGCCACACAGCTTGCACCACACATGTAATGTAAACTCTCTGTAGCTAGCAAATGTACTTGTGGAAACCATAGCACATTTTTGCATGAAATCGAATTTGCCTAACTCGGGGGGAGAGTGTACCCTTCATTTTTCCACATACCGTGTAGCCCAGTGTGCCTTGAATTAAATCCATCATAGAAACCTAGTAAAATCAGTCGCAAGCGAGCAAACACATGTACATTCTAAAATCGTTGGGGTATCTAATTTGTAGTCATGAGCAGTGACAAAACCTCCCCAGTGCAAAAAAAAAACAACAAAACAAGGGTGGCATTGGTGTTTATCTAATAACTGCAGCCAAAATACTAGAATAGGACATTATAAAAGTAGGAGCATCAACACCAATTTCCTGGCTAAATTTAGCTTTGGGCTTTCATTTTTACTTTTCAGAATGTTTGCATATTTGTATTTGACTTGGGAAGTTGTCTTACAGTGCATACATGTCTTGATTTCAGCCTGGAAAGGGTATGTAGACTTTGTATAGGCACTATGTATCTATGCATTATCAATTCATTAATCCTGCTACAGGTAATACTGTACAAGCTATCACATTTTTAGAGGTTATTTTTGTAGTATTAGGCTTGAAAACAACACAGCTAATGAGTTTAGCATAATATTTTCCTAAATGAGCAAAATGCATTAATTTACATCCCGGGAAGAAAAAGACATTAATGTACTGCAGGGGTCAGTTTTATTCAACAAATGAGTCCATTATCTCTTGCCTCCATTTCCTTCAAGCAGTGTACACTGTGGCAGCAAATTTACAAGAGTGTTTAATTCTCTCTGGGAAATCATGCTCTGTGAGAAGGGCTGTGTGCCGCTCAGCAAGTGTACATGGTCATGGATCCCATTAGCTCACATGCCAATCCACTGCTTCCCAGGGGTTCTCTCTTAGGTTCGTGTCTGATGAATAAGGTGGCCTGTCCATCATATATCTCCATTGCACTGTGCCAAAGCCTGAAAAATGCATGTGACTTGGCCATGCGTTATTTTGTATAATTATGTGCAAAGTAAGATAAAATACACAAAGAGGCTGAAGTTACAAATCAAAAATGATTTCTAATACAGTTTTCCGAAGTTATAAAGAAAAGCTGCACTTTGCTGGCATTATTTCTAGTATTGTCTGTTGTGGGTTTCAAGGTGTTTAAATTGGAAAAACTCATACGTTTCAGTAATATTGAGCAAGCTTTGTGTAGAAAAAGTGCCTTGACAGTGTATAAATATTATTCTGCTTTTTTTCTGTAATGTCCTTTCTCAGATGAAAGCAGGACTACAAACCAGCTTGATGATTTTATGGAGTGTCTTTCCAAATTCACTCGCTACAATTCCGTAAGACCACTTGCAACATTATCTTACGCCAGTGATCTCTACAGTAGTTCCAGTATTGTCTCCAGGTACAGTAACATTTTTTAAAGACAGATATGAAGAAATAAATGGGATCTGATTTGTTTTTTGTTCCAGCTACCAGTATTATCAAATTATGAACTGGACTGATTTATATTTAATCAAAACTTAAAGAACAACACATTTCTCATATAGAATTATCAGTCAGCTGATTAATAAATGAGGTATATAGGCTAATGTTCTCTAATTTATCTGAAGATCTGAATTTCAGATTACAGATAAGGTTTTAAAGCTACAATGGATAGTGCTTCAAATTCTAAAGATAATTTTTGGTCAGATGGTGGCAGTCTTGTATAACAGCATAATTTACTTGTTTTTCTTCTGTTCTACAAAGCTTTCTTTATTTTGGTTTATATTGTGCTGTCATTCTTTTGTTAAGTGTCAAACAAAATATTCAAAAAAATATCCTCTTTTACATGTATTCAACCTTTTCTCAGGTTTTATCAGTACCAACATAATTTCGCGTCACTGGTAATCCATATGTGTTTTAAAACATCACAGTGCTAACAATCAGGACTGTGAAGCAGTAGGCTACTTGATAACTTTTCTTTTTTCCATTTTGTGTTCCAGTATTGAATTTGACCGCGACTGTGATTATTTTGCCATTGCTGGTGTTACAAAGAAAATTAAAGTGTACGAGTATGGAACTGTGATTCAGGATGCTGTGGACATTCATTATCCTGTAAATGAGATGACTTGTAACTCCAAAATCAGGTAATGATTTTGATTATTCATACTCCATGAAACCACTTTGACACTTTCCCACTTCTTAATCTTAAAACTTGACAAAAATATTCAGATTCATTCTTGCTGGCATAAATTAATAGGTGCTAATCCCTTCACTAATCTTTTAGCCTTTTCAGAAATGCAGCTTGCTGATATGAAAGCCAAAACAGGGAAAATGTTGACATTTGAAGCAAAAAGAAACATTAAAAAAAAAATCATACCTGCTATAATTCAGGGCTGACCTTGTTTTATATGCAGCTCTGAGTTACTTAATGAACTCCAAAGCTGTTTAAATTGTTTGCTTCAGGCACACTGTCGTAAAGCCTCTTGAATAGGTTTAACCTGTTTAAGAATTAAATTAATATGGTAATTATAAGTGTTATGATTTAAAAAAGGGAGCAACGTTGGCATGGCTTTTAGGACAGTTGCCTCACTGCTTTAGGTCTTTAGGCGTCCAGCTTCTGGTGCCTGTGTTCTTGGAGCTTGCTTGTTCTTTCCATTTTCACATGGGTTTTTATGAGCGCTCCCACCTCCCAAAGAAATGCTCATTAGGCTTGAATGTCTATTCTCTGATCCTGCAATTGACTGGCCTCCATGTCCAGCAGAAGAAGATTCAGTGCTCAGTCCTGCCTTGCCCTGTGCCTTTGTGATAAGATCTGGCATGCTACTTTTCCAGATGGGATAAGCAGCTTACTGATGATGGATGAATTATATAGATATATAAATCTTTAGTACATCTACATTAGCTGAGGAGCCAACAGTGAAGTGTTAATATAAGTTAATCGGCTCTTAATATTTGTTTAAGAACAGTTCCAAGTCAGTCATTTGTACTGCTGAACAGCAGAGAGGTTTTTTGAGGACTGCTTGTTAAAGATTTGTTAGACATTTCCATGACAGAAATCTCTGTAACCATTGTATGTTATTCACTGTGGTTTTTAATGGATGTTAGAGTGCACTCAGTAAAACACTGGAAAGTATCAAACTTCTGGTGCCATTGTAGCATATTTTCTAAATCGCTCCCAATTTTTGAAGATGTGCAAAAATGAAATATCAAATAAGAAATTAAAAACTGTAGCCTTTGGCATAGCTTTGAAAGCTTTACTGTGCAGTTTAGCATAAAGTTATGTGTTATAGCTTCCGATTATATTATTTTTAAATCACAGTGTTAAATGTATTTGACAAATCTCTTGGTTTTGATGTACATAGGATTTCTGTTTTAAAAATTACGTTGACGTTTTAAGTTTCAATGCCCAAATTTGTTTAAGAATTTGATCAATTAAAATTGGATTATTATTTTGTGTTTAAGTAAACATTTTGTTTCTGGCATGCAAAGCAGAAAAGACATTGATTTCCCCCTGTCTTTCTAGCTGTATCAGCTGGAGTAGCTATCACAAGAATCTGCTGGCAAGCAGTGACTACGAGGGCACTGTGATTTTGTGGGATGGCTTTACTGGGCAACGATCAAAGGTTTATCAGGTATGCAACAGTTTCCTCTGCTTGTTTGTGAAGTGACCTATAATAAATATAGAAACTCATTGTATTTTATTTGTTTGAACTTGACAAGTACATTCAAATGTTTTAGAAGGCATTCTTGTCTTTTGTCTTGATGCCTTTCTAACTGACAGCTGTGTAAGGAAGGATATTTCAAGGTTCTCTACACAGCAGAAAACAGATACTTACCCTTCCTGTAGAGCAGCTGTTCTTAACCTCTTTCAGCCAGGACCCAGATTAAATTTAGGAGTCATCTTTGTGAGCCATGGTTCACTTTTGAATGAATCTTTATTTACTTTACTGTTGTCTACCATGTCTACCAATAAATTATATTATTTTACTAAAATATAATGTTTAAGAAATTAGGTATGTGTTCTAAATAATATTAACATATGATTAATAATTAGTCTATTAGTTGGTAGTATATAATACTATCAACTAATTGCAATACTACTTTTATTGCAATACTAGTATGCAATGCTACTTTTACAAAACCACAAATATTAGAAAAACAGCACAAAACTAATGTGAAAAGTGACTTTGCTGAGTCTTTGAAAGTTCAAACAATGGCTGTGTATTTTTTAAACCTTAAGTTATGCTCTAGTTGCAGTTGGCTTCTAAGCCTAATTTTTGTGATGTCAAGTGCTGAAAACCTGCTTCACACAAGCAGGTTGTAGAAAACGTAGTGGATTTGTTTGCTTTTGAAAAGTGTAGAGCAGTGTCTTGTCTTTTTGAATCTCTTTGAATGCCAGCCATGCTTGATAATGTCATCAGCTTAATCTTCAACGTCAATGTCAAATGGGCTGTGAACCCAGCTGTATTTAGACGCATCCTCTGGGATGTAGCGGTCCTTTAAGGAATACGTCTTAATGTTACACACGCAGGAATGCTCGATTACTGGGAGGTATAGTTGATTTTTAAACATAGATGTACAGTACACTCTCACTTTAACAGAGTTCACGTTAACAGACTTTGGCTTTAATAGACTAACTCTAGTAAACGGGGGCTTTGCGATGTTGATTTGTGATCTGCAGCTAGTATCCTGGCCCAACACATGAATTGAATTTCAAATGCAGTGACGGATGGCTTCGGTGATTTTGTAAACATCACGGTTTAGTGAATAAAAGAACCTATGGTGAAGTTTTGATTGCACCCACTTTAAAATGGGTTCTGTAAGAAATTGAATAAATGAATCCAAAATGAAGGCATCATATTATCCCAACTCTACAATGCTAACAAGACTGTCTTCTGCCGTTCACTCCTGGAAAATACAAAACCCTATAAGTACTAGATGACGATGCCAGGACGTAGGAAAGGAAAGAAAGAATCTTAGCATTATGTGTACAAATGCTGACGGCTTCAACAGTTTTGACACCTGTAGCTGTTGCCAATTCATGGAGACTGAGGGTCCTCGAGGATATAATGAATGAGCTTCCCCCAGTCTATTACCATTCCAGAAAAGCTTGGTTTACTTCTGACATTTTTTTATGTGCTGAGTTCTTTGAGCTCAAAATATCTCATTGGTAATTAAATGACAGCTGGGCATAC